GCTTTGCGACACACTGAACTGAATAGACGGGGCTTAATTTTTCCACATTTGTAAAAGTGTAGTGTAAATTTTACACTGTAAAATCATAATAGTGTTACTTATACTTACAGAAAGTAAAACGTAATGTTAATGGCGTGGTTCTACATGATAGTATGTGCAGTAATATGTGGTTTTCAGAAAACCATCCAACTTAATTTTTCTTACCCGTGGAATCTGAAATAAATTATGCAACCGATTCTTCTGTACATCCGAAATTTCACAGGGGTTACCCACCCCTCCCCATAAAAATGATCTTTTACCTTTCTTTAATTGGCAAAATTGAGTTAAATATTTATTTTCGAATTATGCAATTATTTAAACAATAATATTGTTTAGTATATCTATAGTTCATAAATAATATACATTATAATAACAAATGTTTATTATTTAACATAAATGTACAATGCCCCCTATATTAAAATGATCAGCTGGATCCGTCCCTGCGATATAGTATTAGAGAATACTTTCTAAATGACTTTCTTAACTTTATTTCTTTCTGTCATTGATTTTCAGTTACATCATGACTAATGATGAACATAACTTATCAGAGAATAAGCTTTTTAATGACTGCATACATGGCCACTTTGTATTACCACCATTGTGTGTTGCAATCATTGACACAGATGTGTTTCAACGATTACGGAACATCAAAATGTTAGGTCTTGGGTATTATGTTTACCCTGGTGCTTGTCACAATAGATTTGAACATTCCCTAGGGTGAGTTAATATCATCCATATCTGAGTATTATACATTAGACCGTCGCTGTGAGTTGTAATGTAAGTAAATGATGCTTTGAGAGGTATGTATTACATTTGATAATAATATAAGTCAGCTGCAGCTTAATTTCTATGTTCTTATTAAAATATTTCTGCCATTTATATACTTGTCAACTATTTTATGGATGTGAATAGGTAGTAAATTTTAGTGCAATTTCCAATTCTAATCCATGACAAAATCCTGACGAAAAAAGAGCTACTATTCTAAAGTTCACTAATGCCAGATCTAATAAACAGGAAAATATAATATTTCATGGTTTTCTCAAATAACACAATATAACAGGTTACCAACTTGGTTTAATTGCCACCTAAAGAACTTGTGACTCAAAGATCCAAGTAAGAAAGTAAGGTATAAAATTTCAAGTCAGTAGTTCTGTATAGTAATAATTTGTAAATGATCTTTTAACAATAGACATTGTATTTGACTTATAAATAAAAAAAAACCTTGCATTCTTCAGAAATAATAAAATTAATTGATCGAATTACTTAAAAACTACCAATTGATTTAAAGAGTCAACAACACTTTTCTTTTGTAAAGAGGCTTTGTGAATTAGTGTAAAAGAAGTATATTGGTGAAAATGATTAACACCAAAAAGCTGGCAATGTGGTTCTTACTACAAAAACCATGAGCAGATGTAATGTGTGCTTCAAAAAATTGTTCTTATTTAGTGTGGAACTTGAGTAGCATTGTCTTAAGGTATATTTTGGGTTTGTAAATTAATACTTTTACTCAATATACTTAACATTTATTTACTTATTATTATATTTCAAACACAAAACTGTTACTTTTTCCACAAACCCATCTCAAATAAGAGGCAGTAGTTTGACTCATTGTTTTTGCAGTAGATCAGAATAGTCTTGTATATCAATTCTCATTTTATATCTCTTTTAATCAGTTATCAATGTAGGATTGAAATATGACTACACTATATTCAGCAAAACATTAACAATAACAAAATGAGGTGATAAATGTCATCGAAGGAATTTAGTAGTATCCCAAATGCAGTAATTTGAATGCCACCCATTGTAGAAGAAGGAAGAATAAATTATTATCAGGGATGGAAGAAGAAAGTATTATCAGGCTTTCACCGCCGGATTCACAAATAGAATTATTTTCTGGGCTGGAAGGTCATGTTATAGTGGAAATGAAATTCCACTATTTAATTAAGGAAAGGATTCTGTAATGTAACAAAATAATTTTTAATGACAATGATCCAAGAGAATCCAAACATTCAATAACAGTAAAATGTATCATTACATAAAAGTCCAATGAGAAACATAAAACAGTCAAAATAACTGTCTCTGTTATTCTAGTGTTAATGTATTGTGTAAATATACAAAGGTTGAATTTTTTACACAAAGAGGAATTTAATAACTGGATGATATTTGTGGTTTCTTGTACCCAAAATTCATAGTAAACAGTGATACAAGCTAAATTGTTCCTCTTCAAATTTGTGCGACTGAGATATGAACCATAATACTGAGAGTGATCTAAGTATTATGGTTCATATCTGCAAGTCACATGAATAATTGAAATATTTTAGTTCAAGCTTATTTAATTTTAAGATGAGATTTTTTTCATTCTAGAGAGTTTAAAAGTCAAACTGACCAAAATTCTGTACCTTAAAGAAATCCATAATTGATGTTGAAAGCTAACAAATATCTTACAGAAAAAATTAAAATATGCTAGAGTAACGTCAAAGAATATTTCTTTTGGAGTAACTTCATGGGCCTCATTCAAGTGCAGAAATAAATTTTCATTTTGAAATCATTATTTCTCTGAAAATAATTAATAGGGAATCTCTAACTAGATTATAAATAGGCATATTAATTCCAAAACTCATTTGTTAAACTGAAGTAATTCAATCAAATAATTTTAATTTATTAGTTCGAGAGCATTTTCAGATATCTTAATTACCTGTATTTTTCTACCACAGAGTGAGCTATCTTGCTGGGAAAATGGTTGATGCCTTAAACAACAATCACTTGGAAAGTGAAATTAAAATAAGACCTTTTGAGAAACTATGCCTGCAAGTGGCTGGATTGTGTCACGATTTGGGGCATGGCCCATTTTCCCATTCATGGGAAAAATTCATAAATGCTGCATCCAATGATAATTGGAAAGTAAGTACTGTGATATACAAATCCTTAGTAATGAGTGGAAATTTAAGATTATATATTATGGTGCACAAATGTATATTAGAGATTTGTGAAT